CTTCCTGAAACATATTGGCCAGGCTCTTAGAGGGCTACACATCGTTTAACTTTGAACCCACATTTATTCCTCAAAATTGGTCCTTTTTAATAATGTAAGTGAAGGTGAGGAGATCAGACTCACCAATGAATATTTTTAAGGAGGAAAGATTTACTTGTTTCATTTAGTAGCTATACAAATATATAAAAATTCTAAAACTTTATATGAGAAGATACCTATGTAGAGAAATTGGAATATATTAAGCATAAAATTACTTACCAGGGTTCTTCTGTAACTTGAAAGTCTGTATTTATATTTTCTCCATTCAAAATTTTTCTAAGGATTCTCAAGATTCTTGTAGAAACCTGGTCCCTGTACAAAGAGTGGTCTACAATGTTCTCAATGAACTGGAGAAGACATTTAACCTGACAATTCTGGAAGCGTTGTTCAGCGAGGTCAACATGCAGGAATACCCTGATTTAATTCAAGTTTATAAAAGCTTCGAAAATGGTAATTAGGTTTATTACTACCTTTTGAGGTCAATTTTTTTCAACAAGCATATATTGAGTTTCTACCATATGCCACACACTGTGCTGGGCAGTGGGGTTACAGTAGTTAATAAGACAGACATTTCATGAGCCTTCTCAAAGCTTACAGGTGAAGGCTGTGGTACAACCACCACCCAGAAGTCTGCTTAACTGGGCGTTTAGACTCACAAGACAAGCAGAGCTACACTGGCACCAGGATCACCTAGAACACGAGACAAGAAACACAGAATCCCATCAGGGCAGCATCAATTGCTTCTCATCATTGGGAGCCCTCACAGTGGTCTACACAGCAGTCCACCTGTCACTACTACTGCCTTGAATGCCAGACAGCTTAGCCGTGTGTGCAGGATCCACTTTGGCTTAGCACCATGTGTCCGTGGGAGTCTACATCTCTTGTAACGTCTTCATAGCCTAGCTATCAGAGACCCTACAAGGGACAAGTTGCATTGCAAGAGTTACCATATTGAAGGAAAAATAAAGTTATGGCTTCCCACCTGGTGTTTGTAGTTCATTAGAGTCCCTCCCGTCTACCACTCAAGGGACTTTTTAAAAATCTACACCTAGTGCCTGCCCAGTAACACAGTGCAAAGGCCACCTTTATTAGGTTTCCTCCAAGACCCTGGTGTCCACACAAGCTGTGGGGCAGTGGTTCAAATCCGAATAGATGAGGCTGTGGTCCAGGCGGCATCACTCCCTCCAGCTTCCCAGTCCCCACCGTCATCCCCTGCAAGAAGCCCCCCAGCCCTCACTGAAACGCCTGCACACCGGGCTTCCCTCACGTTCTCG